GGGGCGCACTGACAGAAGCGAGGCTGCTGTACACTGGCACTACCGGACTCTCTGACCACCATCAGTAAGCAATGTAGGTGAAGTCACACAACAACTCTAAAAGCCAGAATTTTTAATGTTTTAGGCTAGAACCGTCAACCCTTCAATTTCAGGGCAAACTCCTACATCCCACGCCACTGTCCCCCAGTAACTATAGGTAACTAGTTAATTAGTTAGTTGAGTCATTGAAACTAATCCACTTTGCAATAATAATCTGTACTGTACTGACTGTATTGCATATGCGCCAAGATAATCTGTATGCCTTATGTACAAAGCAGAAGGAGGATAGGAGGAAATGCAATAGAATTATGTGTTTATGCACACTGTCCTCTGTTATTTTCTGGCTTTGTCAGAGTACTCAAACGGACACACACACAATGCTCCCCTTGCTTTCATGGTCAAACTTTATGGATCTCCTGTGAGACATGAACACATGGAACAGTCATCAACCTCCAGCTGCTGATATGGAGCTTCTCTCTATCCTGCTCTGAGATGCTTTCCGGGATGAGAGGCAGCATCTGGGGGCTGCCTCTTCACACTCTGGCCTTTCCTTGTAAAGAAAGCCTCCTATTCATCACTAAAAAGCTCTCTGTGTGCTCGTTTCTCTGCTATAGAGTCTCCATGTGTCCTTGTGTGTGCAAAGCAAGCTTGTCTTTGTGAGCGGGAAGGCAGAGACAGAGCTGTGAGAACAGCTGTGGAATCAGACGGTGATTCCGTCTGCCTTCTAAACACTGGGATTTGCACACCACCCAGAGCCCAGACACAGCTCTCCATGCCAAGGCGAACATGCATATGCATGCAATCATGTGCACACATTTAGACAAAGAACTCTCCTGCTTGCAAAGCTTGCATCATACATTTCAGATTGTTTCATCATCTGTTAGTCATTTTTCATCCTAAGCTTTTCACCTTAAACTAACAAACACATGACCTGCACTGATATATTCAGTGGATTAGAATAACCAGTGTGTCTTGTCCACATTTTTTTTCTCTAGTTCAAGCTTTTACTTGTGTTATAAAACATTGTTTGTTATTAAAGCTTATCAAACATTGTTTTAGGCGTCTTTTAACCCATTCAGAACTGTTTTTCATCTACAACGGAGGAACTCTCTGGCATTCCAGTTCGCCCAGTGCACATTATAACTGTCATGATGTGTGAGATTGTTGCAGCACCACAACACAGACAGGAATGTGGAATGAGCATAGTGAGAATTTAATGACAATAACAGAAAACCTACAAAAACTCAGGAAAACTGGACATGAAGCATGAGGAGGTACAGGCATTGAATAATGGAGAATACCAGGGACGATCTAGTGGAGAATGACAGGAACCAGCGAGTGTATGCAGGGGGTAAGGTGGAGGGTGTCACTGAATGCAGGTTAGAGTAATCGGAGTAAAATGTTGAGGCAGAGTAAATGTGGGGAGCTGACAGAGGGAGACTAATTACCATGAAAGAGTTGAGCAGTGATTAAGCCACAAACAAAGAACGAGAATTTTAATTAAGACTTTGCAAAATGAAGATAAAATACATTGAGAACAGAAAGCAAAACAAACTTTAGCCAAGAAACAATGCAAAAAAATTAATTGATGAAGAAACTGCTTGAGGACAAAAACAACAAGGAGCACTGGGGAATGATGTGAATAACGCAAGTCCTTTAGAAATCTACACACTTGGGTATCAGGAACATTAGCTGATAATGAAACACATTTTTTATATATATATATATTTGAACTTTCTTAAAACAAATATTTTCGGGTAAACTACATATACGTGTTTTTCACAAACAAAGTAGTTTAAACAGTTCACACATCACAAACCATGTTAGAATGCACTATTTAAATTCACATTCCACTTTGGCCAAATAGCACTGAAATGTTTTCTGTAGAATTAAAGTTCCTTGATTGAAAAAGTTTAACGATTCTGTTGAGCTTTAAGAAATCTGATTTATGCAGATTGATCCATTTCCAAGTTTACTATTAAAAATAAATATGTCAAATTTAAATACTACTAAAAATATTTCAATTTGACATAATCAAATAGACAGCAATTCACACTCAGCTGTACACAAATCCATGCATTATATCGATTTTACCACATAAAAATTGTTTTTTATATCATATAATTCCAAAGCAATAATATCTGTTATGATGCTTAAAAAGTCTAAAAGAAAAACTGGCAGTGATATTTAGACAAGATTAATATTTAATTCAAGTCTTGAGATGCAGTGTTCCGCTAAGCACATGACTAAATGCTGATCTGAACACATTAAGTCCTGTGGAAGCTGTTTGGAGACATGCCAAATGCTGTCTTCACAGTGTGATTCCAAATCCCTCTGTCCCGACTGAGCTACCTGTCAGCAGAACGAGCTCCTCACACCTGCAGCAATTCACTCTAAAGTCTGTTTGTGTATGTTTATGTATGTCTGCGTGTCCTCACGAAGGAGCTGTGCAAGCATATTCACAGGCAGCATTTCTGACAAGCCTAATGAATCTCCAGAGAGCAACTACCTGCCAGCTTTCTCATGTTCTGTCTTGTCTTCATTGTTCTCACACTCTGTTCTCGGCTCTATGTCAGGCAATGCAGCTCATCTCAACGCAAGGTTTTCTTCCTCCATCACCACGTCAGCTTCTGGTTAAACTGTCAGCACTATAATTCCCCAGCATTTGTGTAGATGATGGGATAAGTCACAAACTTCTTCTGAGTGTTTCTTTGAAGAGTAAATATTGTCATATTGGTTCCTGTGACTAATACCACAAACCCATTAAACACTGGTGTTGTTTGTTAATTAGGTCTAAATCTAAATAAGTATAGTCTCCAGGTCCCTCAACAAAATATTACCTTGGAAAAGAATCTCCACCCAAGGTTTTCCTCAAATAGCTGTACGGCTTATAGTTGGGTGAATATGTCGACATGTGCTTTGAATATGCAAATGCAGTTTTGAATTATTCATTTGAATCTTGTAGTGTGACAGAAATAGCAATTTTTACACAAAAAAGCATAACTTAAGCCTGTTGAAGACTAAGATCTTCTGGAGATTCCTAATTGTTGACGTCTTTTCTTTGGCTTTATTTTGACATCCGGTCTCTTTAATAAGCAAGTCTTTTTTGTGGATTAGAATATAGCCTTTTTAAAGCAGATTTCTGGTAAAAAAAAAAAAAAAAAAAACAGCAAACAAACTGCCTTACAGGGTATGATTATGTATGACACAAGCATGCTGTGATATATAGCAGGGTATTGTTTAGTGTATGCAAATGTTTTGTGTCATAGGGTAATCTTTCTCAATTCCTCCTGCAATTAAATCCAATACAATTCAGTCTTTACTCGATTGCTCTCTTATTTGCATTGAAATAATTAGATGTCTTATGACATAAAATTTTTTATTGCGGCTGTGAAGTAAAGACCTCCAAGTCATTACTTGGTTTTACTATTGTCCAATGCTGTAACAGGGTCACTCTCCCAGCTATGACTCATGTTGAGTTTCAGTTCTAATGCCCTCAGAAATTCACTCCTATTAAAAACTTCGATCACTGATGATTTATGAAAAATCAATGCTGCTGCTTTAAGATTTTTCTATAGCTCTTTGAACATATGTATCTATATTAAAACTACTGCTGCTGAATATTTGCTATCTTAAACATGTTCAAAATTAATATATCATAAAATAGCACAACTGATTGAATGTCAGTTTCAAAGCCCAAGAAGAGTAAAATGCCTGCAACCATTTCCAAAGTGTATACCAGCTTGACCCCCCAAAATAATTTTTATTTTGTACATTGATTAAAAGAATGGAAAAATTGTGATTTTAAATTTTAAACCAGAGACATTTACATTATGCTAAAACTGTGATGGGCAGAAACATGAAACGCCAGCATATCATAGCAGCAACTCTGCTTCTGAGATAGAAAATCTCCTTCTGTGAGTCCTCAATTATACTTACCCGTTTTAAATTAGTCATGCCTCAGCTCAGCTTGTCTTTCCTAAAATCCATTACCTATGCCTGAGGAGGCCTTGTTAGGTTACAATGGATTGCTAATTGCACAGCATTATGATACATTGCAGTAATGGGAGTAATTAGGGAAATAATTTCTACATGAGGTCTGCATGACCGAGGTACCAGAACTAGCACGTCTGACTAGAACAAAAGAATCAACTCTAGATGATCTGAAATTTGACTTTTCTTTCAACCTTTCCTCATGAATGACAAACGTCTACACACAAAAAAAAATCTCAAAGTCAATTTATTTACATGAGGTTTCAGAGTTATGACAGAAAGAAGAAAGCCTGAGTAATGAAATGCTTCACACTTATCTGGGTGGTGCACTTCAAATGAGATTGACACGGTGCAGCATCTAAAACACAAGCATTAGATCTATAATGACTGTAGCCTAGTCCCAACAGACTAACAACACATACACACACACACAAGTCAGTGTTTTATCATATTTATGAGAACTTTGCATTGATTCCCAGTAATTCATTTTACCTATAAATTACCATAACCTAAAGACCACCCATTACCAGAACATACCTAACCCTAAAATTAACCAACACTCAATTCAAGCCTAGGTTTCAAACCTAACCCCAGAACAGTAGAAGAACGTGAGGAACAGGACAATGTCCTCACTTTCCCAAAAGGACCTCACTTTGTTGGTGAAACACAAAAAAATTGGTTCTCTCCAAGGCAAGTGCTTTACCCCATACACACACTAACACACACAGATCCTCCCAGCCCCCCAAAATCGTCTATGTATTATGCATTCCACCCATCTGCCTCTCTGTAAGCTCTCTATCCCAAGGGGAAGAGATGGGAGAAGAGGGGGAGGAAAAAAAAAAGAGGAGGGCACTCACATCTGTATTTGGGAAGTATAGGGGGAGAGTAATGTTCTCCCCCTCTCCCTGTTTGTTTCCCAATCTGCATTTCTGTCAGTTTCATAAGTTAAAAGAATGCAAGGTTCTCACCTGTGTTTGGGCTTCCACCTTATAAAGAGGTATGAGCATATGGCTCTGCAGTATGAGTGATTTATGGATGCCTATAGCTTCTGTGAGTTTGTGTGCTGACAAGCATATGCGTTTGCTTCTTTAGATGTAATATGACCATCTGTAGATTCAAAATACCCGTGAGGCTTTAGTGTGTGCAGATGTGTATGCTTACTTAAATAAATAAGTACGACAAAACATGCATTTTTTTGTGCATAGGGGCAATTGAGATTTGTACTGCTGGAAGAAAGTAGAGATCCAAACAAAGCAGAATCTCAATGTTCCTAAAATGGTCTTCCCATATAAAAGATGTTTTTCTCATCACTAAATGATTGTTGATAAAATCACAAGACTTGGGTTTCTTCAAGCTGCCTGAGTGAGTGACAAATAAGTTTCAGTACAGAGCAAGCTGGAGGCGAGAAGGGAGCAGTTTTAATAGCACGTCTTTTGTCTCACAGCTGCCAAACATTCAGCCTGACCCAAACCAAACTGCAACCCCATGATCCTCATCTGCCCTATTACATCCCTCAGCTGTTTCCTTCTTACAGATCCATGTGTGCAAATGTGGATGTGTGTGTGTGTGTTTGTTCAAGAACAACAAAGGCCTCGTTGTGACTGCGCCGTCAGATGCAGCTGTGTACGCTTCAGATGTTTTCACACAAAGGATGAAGTGAAAGACGAGTAAAATCCAAATAGTACAAAACAAGCTGATGCAAAGTTTAATAAAATAACTGTCAAAAAACTTTAATTTATCTAGCTAGTAAATCCTATAATAAAATAGAAAGTGTCCCTGGGGATCTTATTTTATATTGTCTATGATGCTCCCTCATAATTTTAGCAAAAACAGAGACTGTAGCTTTAATTTAATAGATACCTAAAAATAAAAAGTCTGTTTAAAATGCTAAAAGAAATTCCAATATATAGTATGAGCAAAGTGAAGAAATTAGTTAATAACACTGGACTTTTCTCTTTTAAAATGCCTCATATTTAATTGCTGGCATATTAGAAATTTTTGTTTTAACTTATATCACAACATTCCTCGGCTGCTGGTTTGTTTGCTGCACATCCAGGATTTGAATGTTCAAAAATACACACAGTTACTGCATATCTTTTCATGGTTAATAATAGGTATGTAGAAACATGTAAGCATTATTTTGTATTTGGTGTCTAGTTGAAGTAAACTCTGATCAGCTGCTAAACATGGTAGCTGCTAAACATTTTCAAGCTGCCAAAAAGATTTTTGATCTGATGGGCCATTAAACCCCTTTATATCCTGTGGTTTTTAGCACCAGGATGTTGAAAAAGGATCCTATCGCCTCACTGTGAATTAGGTTTGTTCAAACGCATCCCACTGATGCTTGATAGGATTCACATCTGGGAAGGTCAGAGGTCGAGTCCAGGCATCCTGCTCTTGTTCCATCAGCGAATCTTGATGAGTTTCATGCAGGTGGGATCTGACATATATTGTCTTTTGTTCCTTTGCACTGCAACAATAAAATCAATACTATCATTTTTTTTTTTTTTTTTTTTTTTTTAGAATTTCTCTCAGAGGAACATACGCTACAAATTAAAAAGTAATGCTGACCACATTGTGAACAATTGAGCTGAGGTGTCAGTATTGTATTGTTGTTTTAGGCCACTGTCATCAATCAGTGCACATTGACATGCAGGTCAGAGTAGATTGAAACAGGGCTTATAGAGTGAGAGAGAAAGATCAATGTGATAATCTCCCTTTCTCACACTGATCTAGGTTTTCTGAAAAGATCTCCACATTTTTTTCAGTCCTTTCTTTTTCTTTTTCTGGAACAAATAAAACATCAATCAAACCCTTCTCTTTTTAAAAGTGGAGTAAATGTACAAGGACACAAGTGGGCCCCGATAAGATTCACTCTGGTAAAACTATGCAAGTTCGTCTATGCAGAATCCTTGCTTTCAAACAGGCTATTAAAGGACATTGTTTCCACTCGCATTACTGCAGGCTTTGATTCCTGGATTTTATCTGTTCAACTATCGTCTCACATCAGGAATTTAACCCCATACACCTGCAGTGCCTCATTTTACATTCATCACTCAGTACTCAGGTGGCTGAATACTAAGCACACATGAACACATGTTTAACAGGATATAATATGTGAAGTTGTGCTAAATAGACGTGTGAGTTGCTGAAAAAGATCGGTGCACTTAAGAGCACAGTGTTTAAATGTTTAATCCATACTTATGGAATATCATTTGCAATGCACTAAAAAGTATCTTTGTTATTCCACAGCTTCTCTCACTGCTAAGCACAACTTGACAACTTCAGTTAGTGGTACTGGGCTTCTAAAAGAAGCTGGAAATGACTTATCATTGAAATATCAAACTTAAAACTATATTGATCCAATTACATGCTTTAATATAATGGATCTGAAAACTACTAAAACATGACGGTATTTTGAGCTTTGATAGAGCTTGTTCTGATTAAAAGTGCATAGTCACGCCTAAATAAAAAAGATCAAAAACCATTTGCCAATGATAGTGTTTAGATAGTCATTTTTGAGCCTAAATAGAACTCCTCTAATAGGTGCGCTGCATAGACATAAACTGACATGTACGCCATCTGCTGGTAGCAACGTGGAGCTATCAGAAAGAAAAATGGCGAAAATTGATGCAGCTACTTAATAGAGCCCGGCCGTCCTGAGATACCTTGGGGTAAAGTCGCAGCTCAGCCCAGTCCAAGATCAACCCGAGCAACTCCAAGTTCTAATGAATCCAGCGCCTCCTATCAGAACACAGAGGGAAAAGAGATGTACCATTCCTGAAACAAGTGAAAAAAGCAAGGAATATCTGAATTGAATAAATACAATAAATCACCAGTTAAAACATATTCTTTGGAACAAATTAAATGAAACACATGAAAATGTTATTTGGAAAAGTCTCCACTTGTTATCTAGATTCTGTTAAACAAACTATGTATCTGGTATTGAAAGAAAGAATCACTCCACCTTGTCCAAACTCAGCCTTTGATGTGTTTGCAACAATTCAAGCTTTTAACACTTGCGCACCCACCACAAATACTTCAGCAACACACCCATACACGCAGGTGCTGTGTGAAATTGTGCAAGCTGTTGAGCGATGGTCTGTTTGGAGTTTGGGCGGGGTGTGGGGGTGAATAGAGGTAGAAGTGGAGAAAGGAGGCAGAGGTGTGGAGGTGAAGACAAGCTCAACCTTCAGAAACAGACTGTCTTTGTGCCTGTGGGGCAGCAGAGCAGCCCATGGGGAGGTGTGTGTCTGTGTGGAGGGATGGGGGGGTTTGTTGGCTACCTCTGCTCCCTTGTCTCAGCTGTGGTGTAATTGATTAGATGAATCTTTATAGAGTATCGTATTAATCTTTATGAAAAGGGTATTGTGCGTTGTGCATGTGTCTGTCTTTTTAATCAGATGTGTGATTAGAATTAAATATGAAATTAGTGCTGATTAATAACGCCATATGTATGCATATAATTGAATAAGCCCCTCTACGTTTGTTGTTTTACATTGAATGAAATGTTCACCTGTTTCTGTAGTGAGATATTCTACCTGCTGACAGGCCGGAGAGGGAAGCTGTCAAACTGTCAGATCAGTGTAGCTTAATACAAGCCCCAATATTTGGTATCCAGGATGTACAACTGGGTGGCAAATTAAAGTTAAACAGCATTAAGTGTCTAAGCAGGGTGCTGGACTGGACCACCAGGAAGCTCAGACTGCTTTTACTCCACTGGCAAGATGAACACATCTCTATTATATGGTACCCTTTTAGACCATTTATAGCTTTTATTTGCTGTTTCTGAAAGTAATGGATACTTAGTCATATCTAAAATGCTCCTGTGCTTGGTGGGATGAAAACACTTGTAATCACCCCTGACATATTTGAAAAGTGACATGATAAAGCACAATGACTAGATTTTCCTATATTACAAGGTTTGGGGCTTAATATGAGTTTCAACATTTTTGGGAGCTTCTTACAAGACATTAATGCAGCAGCGGTGTTATTTCTTTAGCACAAAAGGGATTTAGCTACTAACACCACACGGATACCCAGATTGATCCCATATTCAGAAAGGCTTTACAGCTAATCAAAAACAAAAGCAGAGACTTGTCCTATTTAATATACATCTTGCAGCTGTAAAGCTGTAAATTGTATATTTTGTTAGTTATGGGATGAATATCAGTGTGAAAGGTTGAACAATACATGTGATATTTTGAAAAATCACCTTAGCATATTAAGTAGAAAATTGAGCGGATTATAATAGGTAAGTTATAATCTAAGCCACTCCTAGCTTGAAGCTTTGCTTCCAGGCCTTCCTCGGCTGTTTGCTGCTCAGCCACTCCTCTGGAAGTCCACAATCTTATCCAAATCGACACCATTTATTATATTTATTTATTATAAAGGAAAATAAACCCTGACTTTCCAAGAAAAAAAAAGTAGTGGCTACAAAGTTGCAAACTTGATACCAGTGCAAAAATAAGACATGTTCCAGTACTTACTATACAGGGTTTGTTGCACATTTAACAGTGAGAGGAAGTCTTGACTGACTATACATCTGGCATGCTGATCATAGAGCCCAGAGTAATACCTACAAATGACCCAGGCCAGAAGAAACTGTTATCTGTGATGGTTTCACTGAAAAAAAGCATATATATATTTATATATTTACAGAGAAAGAAAGAGAGAGAATGTTTTTCTTGTTTACAGAGATAGAGTTAAGGTTTCTCCAATTTATAACGGATCCTAAATTAATGTATTTGGTTCACAACTTACCAGTGACCAAAGTTTATTTCCATTCTGATGCTTGTTTCAATCTGTGCTGTTCCAAATGTCAAAGAATAACATTCAAATGGGTTTTTGTGTATAGCAAACATGTAGAGCTTAAGTTTTGTTCAAACTAATCTCATTATTTAGAATATTCAAGGCCAGGAAACGATATGTTGCATGGTGAAATATTTATGTTAAAACAACAGATGGCTAATCAGCGAACATATAATGTGTGAAT